CATAATCCTTGGGAAACGTCCAGCCCTCTCTTTCTCTCTCTTCCAAGGAGTTCTTCGATTTCTTGTGTTCCACTGATACAAGATCTAGAAAGCTAGTTGAGAATACAGTAGAAGATCTTAAGGTATATAGAGATTCCAATCATACATCCAAACCGGAGACCCAAACCAGCAAGTGACCATACCACGACGACGAGACGAAGAGATCGCCGTCGAGATCGCCGCCGTCCGCCACCGCACGCGCCGCCACTCGCCGCCGGAAGGTTCCAGCTGCCGAGGACAACGCGCGCGCGTGAGAGCGCGTGAATCGACATTTTTCAGATCGGTCAACGCCGTTGACTTTGCCGTGACGTCAGCTTTTTGGATTGGTCAAGTTTGTTCGATTCCGAGAAGATTTGATTTGCAGTCAACTGTCCGGGCCAGCCAGATCTACATAAATTTTAATCAGTAAGTTTTCTTCATCAAACCTTTAGATCCGCTGCACATAGGTTTATGTTGAATGTTTGTCCGTGATTTGTGCATATCGAGATCCTCGTGGGTTCCAACAACTAGAACCCAGAATGAACCGGCAACCATTCTGAGCGGATACTGAATATACATACCTAAAACATGGTAGAGATATTATAATCAATGTAGTACTTAGTCTGAGTCCCCACCTGAATAGCTGAAAATGCAGGTAGTGCTGATGCCTGATCAAATTGAAAAATAATATAAAAAATTACTAAAGACTATGCTCAGACTGATAAATTAACTGATTATTTATGTTAAGATGCTCTACTCGACTTAACATGATATCCGGACTTAATCGGTATAACTGAAACCGGTTAAGTACTGAACTGAACTGATATTAATTTACTGGACTGAACTGAACCCGGAATTTTTGACTGAAAATGACACTGAAATCATGAACTGGGACTGAAATCTTAAAATACGAACCGAACAAAAGAAAATGGGACTGAACCGGTCCAGCCGGTCTGAACCGGTCTGGACCGGACTACCGGTCGGCTGAACCGGGCAGTCGGGTGCTGGCTCGGCCAGCGGCC